TATAAGTTATGCTCTTCCATGGCGTTCATACTTGCTGAGTGGCCGACCCCTGGAGAGTTGTTCAGGGACCTCAAGAAGGGGAGTGTGGGTCCGAGGGGGAGTCGCGCGCCAAAAGACCCACACACCCCTTACTGGAACGGCGGCCACTGGATATGTGAGTTTTGTATGAGAAGGGTTAGCCCGAAGACGCGGTTTGAATGTCGAGGGAAGCGCAACCCGTCAATGTGCAGGGCCCTCGAAGCTCCCGATTGTAACTCCCGCAAACTACATGTGGCTTGGACGGTGCCTCACAGCACCGTGGTCCTTTTCTGTGCTGCGTGTGGGGCATACGGGATCCTTAAGGCTCCAAAGAGCTTCGGAACCTCCTGAACGGCCGCATGCCTTTGTCCGGTGGAATCAGAATTGGCCCCGCTCTCCCTCTGGATAGGACCCCACTGGAAGAGCTTGCCAGACGTCTGCAGGAGGCCAAGAGGAGGGGTGGGGAGTGCAATTGTCTCTCTTCCTGTCTAATGTTGCACACTGTGGGAACCTAGACCTTTCCAGATTGCCCTAGGAGGAGGAGGAGGAGGAGGAGGAGGAGGAGGAGGAGGAGGAGGAGGAGGAGGAGGAGGAGGGGGCGGTACTTGGACTGGCGGAGGAGGCACGGCACCTATGATACCCCACCGGGCCCTCCCCGTACCCCGGGGGAGCCCCAGACCACCCAAGGCAGTGCGACGCGCCACGGCATGCCTTCCGCCATCTTTAGATTCAGCTCAACAGCCCCAGGATGCCCAGGCTGCCCTCCCTTACTACTTGGGATCGAGCTGATCCTCAAAAGTGCCACCATTTGTTTCATACCAGCCCTGTGCTCTAATGAAACAGCTGGCGCTGCGAAACCCACTCTGAATGAGAAGTTACCTAGGCCAGCCTGCGCCGACATGTCAAACCTACGGACTGCTAGAAGACAGCACGATTGCGCGCTCAACTCACAATTGTATGACGTGGACCCTACTGTCCAGTTTCAACAAACTGGGCCAGCCTGCGCGACCAGTACCAACATAATAATGCCAACAACGCAACATGATACTGCCAACATACCTGCCGCGTTGTATCTTGACCTGGGGGATGGTCGCTGATGATGGTTATTGGGAGGGACGGGCCTCGCACTCTTGTCTCGCCGAACCGGCCAGTTGCAACGCTTATCCATGCGGCGACCCGAACTACATGTACATACCAGCTACATCTTACAGCTAGCAGATCTCTGTGCAAGTGGAATCCCACCATCCCTTTGGGCGCAGGTGGTCTAGATCGTTTCCTCTATTAACCCTCCTACTTCCCCTTCGGGGAGGTCGCGGTTCCCTCTTAATCTACACCCCCTCCCCCAAACGACTGGGAGCCAACCAGGGACAATGCGGGCACCCCCCCACCATCCCTTCTTAAAAAATTATCCCAATGCGACCCTACCTAGGAGTTGGAGCCTCTAGGAAAGCAACACAAAGGGCTCAAGATGGCCCACCAAAGGGCTCAATCTGGCCCACAGACGGATAACATGCATGGAACATACGTGCGCACACACATGTAAGTAGAAACATAAATATATATATATATATATATACACACCAGCAGCAATAGTGGATGCTGTGCTGCGCTCTGCTATGCTATGTTATGTTATGGTATGCTCTGGTAAGCTATGCTATGCTATGCTGCGCCATGCTATGCTGGGCTGGGCAAGGCTAGGCTAGGCTAGGCTGGGCTATGCTGCGCTATGTTATGCTGCGCGATGCTATGCTATGATATGCTATGTTATGCTATGCGTTTGCTTTGCCTTCGCTTTTGCCTTCACGGTTGCCTTTGCCTTTTGCTTTTGCTTTTGCTGGGCATCCAGGGAGCGCAGCTGGGGAACCGCGCGTTTGCTGTTACCTTTGCTGATGCTTTTGCTTGGCTCCCAAGGGACTAGGGGAATCGCCCGGGGCGGTTTGCACTGCCCGGCCCCTTTAAGCCAAGCGAGTAAGAACCCTTCTAGGCAGAGCCTGGGTAGGGAACAATACAAAACACACTCTGCTTCCAAATTCGGAGCACGCGCAGCGAACACGATGCGGCCTCCCCCCACCATTCCAGTCAACAAAAACGTTGCAGAGTACACTTGGCGGCGGCACCGGCAGCTGCGGCGGCTGCGGCGGGGGCAGCGGCTGCGGCGGCTGCGGCGGCGGCGGCGGCGGTGGCGGCGGCGGCGGGGGCGGCGGCGGCGGCGGCGCGGCAGCGGTGGCGGCAGCGGCTGCGGCGGCAGCGGCTGCGGCGATTCGGCAGCGGAAACGACGGCGGCGGGCGGCGCGGCGGCGGCGGCAAGGGACGGCGGCGGGCGGGCGGGGCGGCGGCGGCGGCGGCGGACAGCGGCGGCGGCGGCGCGGCGGCGGCGGCGGCGGGCCGCGGCGGCGGCTGAGGCGGCGGCGGATTCGCCCACAGTGGCTGCCCATCCAAAGACGACTGCTGAATATGCTTCGGCTCGGGCTAGGCTCGGGTGCTACGTATGTGTTGGGAGGGCGGGTGGGAGTGAGCGAGACGGCTTGCGGGCGGGGAGGGGGTCTTGACCCCTCTCCTTGCCCCCTCCCCTGGACCTGAACGGGGGGTTTCCCGACGCGTTGGAGCGTCCAAAACGGCCTCGGCGAGGAAGCCAACATCATTGGTTTTACTAGGGTGTTGGCCCCATGTTGGCCTCCTGGGGGGGGAAGCTAATTTAGGACCCCCCCTCCTGTGATCGATCTTGTCCAAGATGGCCCCAAGAGGCGCAAAGGAGGCCCCAAGAGGCCCCGAGATGGCCCCAAGATGGCCCCGCGTGGCCCAAAGAAGACCCCAAGAGGCTCCCAGGATGCCCCCAAGAGGCTCCCAATAGACCCCCACGAGGCCCCAAGAGACCCCCCAGAGGGCACCCAAGACGCTCCAAGAGGCCTCGGCGATAATGCCGAAATCATTGATTTTACCAAGGTTTTGGCTACATGTGGGCCTCCTGGGGGGGAGGGCACTGCTTCAGATGACTCCAAGGGCGCCTGGGAGAGCCCAAGATGATCTCCAAGATGGCCCAAGATATCCGAAGATGCGTCAAGATGGCTCCCACGATCCTCCAAGAGGCCCCAAGACCGCTTGGGACGGCTCCAAGTGGCCGAAGAGCTCCCCCAGGAGGCCCCGAAGAGGCCAAAATCCTTCCCAAACCTCGGGAACATCAATATGTTGGGCTTTCTCGCCTTTTCGCTTCCGATGGCCATCCGAGGTTGCAAGATGATTCCAAGATGGCCCAAGAGGGCTCCAAAAACGCACCCAAGGCTCCCAAGAGCGCGTCAAGAGGGCCCCAAGAGGCGCCCAGGAGGCCCCAGGAGGCCCCAACAGGCGCCCCAGAGGCCTCCAAGAGGCTCCCAAGAGACCCCTAAGAGGCCCCAAGAAGCTCTTCGAGGCACCCAAGACGCCCTAAGAGGCGTCCGGGATCGCCAAGAGGCCCCCGAGACGCTCCAAGAGGCCTCCACTGGGAGACCCTTCCTCTGTGTGCTGCCCACTTCCCTGATCGAGGCACTTCCTCTGGGCGTCGTTTCTGGACGGGCTGGTGGGGTTATTTTGTTTTTACGGCCGCAGGCGAACGCGCCAGCGGCGGGCGAAGTAGGTCGGGCCGCGACCGGCTTAAATTACCGACGGCTAACGCGCGCGACTAGGCGGCCGCGGCGGCGCCGGATGCAGCAAGCAGCAACTCGGCGAGGGTGAGGCTGATCCCAGGGAGAGCTGAACCCAGCTGGTGGGGTTACGCGAAGCGTCTAGAATTCGTCTCCTTCTCGGTCGGTCTGCTTTCGTGTCATTGTTGATGTATTATTCACGTTTCGCTTATTTCCACCCACATCTTTATTCTTTCACTGTCCCCGCCAGAGCTGGGCCGCTCCAGGTCGTCTGCTGCGGCCTATGTGGGACCTTTGCAAGACGTTTGGTTTCCCTCTCGGCGCCATGCCCCCCTTGTACCCCCAAGTTGGAGAAAACGGTCCGGAAGGGAAGGTACATTCAGCTCGATGGAGTGATCAATAGTGTCCAGGAACTTCAGAGGCTTATCCCTGATTGGGTTTCCATATGGTCTGTTCTGACACTGTTTGCTGGGAAATCCTTTCTAGTAACTCGCGCAGTCTGTGTGCGATCTTTCCCGCGCTGGGGGTGGTTGCACAGTGCACCCCCAGCCGCGGGTCCAGTGCAGGTGGTGGACTGACCTGCGAATGCCGCTCAGGAAGACGCCGACGACGCTCTAATGATTCGCAGGCCCGCCCCGACAAAACCTCAGAGGGGGGGAAGCTGAACGTCCCAGAAAGGAGGAGGTTGTTTGGGAAGAGGGCGGAAAGAGCTCGCTAGACCACCTCGGCCTAAAGAGCTGGAGGAATTGATTATTGTACTTCCTCTTACTTTGTTTCGGCATCCCTCACCCCCGCCAGCATCGCGAGGACAGCGTAAAATTCGAGTCATTGGGCCTACTCCTTTTCAATGGTGTTTCACGCCCTGCCTACGTATTCAATGTGCTGCGCTGGTCTCGCCTCAATGTTTCTGTCGCACCTTGCCCAGTCGAACGCTACAGATCCGTAGCTTCAGTCCGCAGGACGCAAGAGGAGGCGGAGGAGGATGAGGAGGAGGCGGAGGCGGAGGAGGAGGAAGAGGAGGATGAAGAGGAGGAAGAGGCGGACGATGGGGGGGGCGAGGACGACGAGGAGTGGGAAGAGGAGAGGGAGGCGGAGTGAGGAGGGAAAGGGGGGGGAGGAGAAAGGGGACGAGGAGGAGGAGGAGGTGGATGGGGGAGGAGGAGGAGGACGACGACGAGGAGAAGGAGGAGAAGGCGGAGGAGGTGGGGGGGGAGGAGGAGGAGGAGGAGAGAGGATGAGGAGGAGGGAGAGGAGGAGAGGAGGAGGAGAAGGAAAGGAGGAGATGCAGGGGGACGAGGGGGAGGAGGGGGAGGAGGGGGCGGAGGGGAGGATGGGGGAGGAGGAGGCGGAGGGGAGGGGGAGGGCCTCGAGCTGCCGCCTGCGTAGCGCGGGCACGCGGAGCGAGACCTCGGCGCCCCTGCGGGGGGGGCCGGGGCGGAGCGCCACGCGCCGCGGCGGGCCAAGGCCGCGCGCCAGGAGGTCGGGGGAACGCAGGGAGGGAGGAGGGGAGGGCTCCTCCTCTGCTCCTCCTCCCTTCTCCAATCTCCTCCCTCCTGCTCCTGCATCCTCCTCCCTCCGCTCTCCTCCTCTAGCTCCTCCTCCTCCTACTTCTCCTCCTCCTCCTCCGCCTCCTCCTCCTCCTGCTCCTCCCTCCTCCTCCTCCTCTTCCTCCTCCTCCTCCACCTCGCTGCGCCCCCCGCCTCCTCCTTCTTCCTCACACGCCCTCCTCAACATCCTCCAACTCCTCGTCCTCCTGTTCCTCCTCCCTGTTTCTCCTCCTCCTTTTCCTCCTTATTCTCCTCCTCCTCCTCCACCTCCTCCCCTCCTCCTCTTCCTTCTCATGTTTTCCTCCTCCTCCTCCTCCTCCTACTACTACTCTACTACTAACTACTGCTACTACTAACTAACTACTACTATCTACTACTACTAACTACTACTACTACTACTATAACGACTACTACTACGACTACTACTAACGACTACTACTAACACGACTAACTGCTACGAACTACTACTACTACACTACTACTACTACTAACAACTACTACTACTCTACTAACTTCTCCGTCTCGCCTCCACCTCCTTCTCTCTCCTCCTCCCTCCTCCTCCTCCTCCGCCTCCGCATCCGCCTTCCTTCCCAATTCCTCTCCGCCTCTTCCTCCTGTTCCTTCCTCCTCCTCTTCTTCCTCCTCTCGCTGCACCCCCCCGCCTCCCCCCCCTCCTACCTCGAGTACGTCCTCCTCAACCTCCTCCTACCTCCGCCTCCCCTCCTCCTCGTCCTCCTGATCCTCCTCTTTCTCCTCTCCTCCTCCTCCTCCATCCTCCTCTTCCTTCTCCTCCTCTTCTTCTTCCTCCGTCCTTCCTCCTCCTCCTCCTACTCTTCTTATCCTCAGCTCCTCCTCCTCCTCCTCCTCCTCCTCCTCCTCCTCCTCCTCCTCCTCATAGTCCTTATCTGCTTCTTCCTCCTCCTCCTCCTGCTTCCTCCTTTCGGATAGTTCAACGACTCGAATGGTGTCCTCCTCCTCCCTTCCGCTGCTCCCTTCTTCCCTCCTTCTTCCCTCCTTCTGCTCCTCCTCCCTCCCCTCCTCCCCCCTCATGCTCCTCATCCTTCTCCTTCCTCTCCTCCTCCTCATCCTCCTCCACCTCCTCCTCCTCGGCCTCCCTCCCCCTCCCCCTCCCCTCCCCCTCCTACTTCCTCCTCCTCCTCCTTCCCCTACTCCTCCTCCTCCTCCTCCTCCTCCTCTCCTCCTTCTCCTCCTCATAGGCTAGGGAGGCTGCGCGCGAGGGAGCGTGTGCGCCTCTGCGGCTCATCTGTCCAGCCCGGCGCCGCCGCCCTCCCCTCCTCCGCCTCCTCCGAATAGGTTTCCGCCCCCCCCCCCCCCCTTCCCCTGCGCGAACGCCCAAATCGCTCTGCATAGCCCATTTAGACCTCCTCCTCCTCCTCCTCCTCCTCTTCTTCTTCTTCCCGTCTTCTCTTCCTTTTCGACTTCGATCTTCTTCTCTTCTTCTTCTTCCTCCTCCTCCTCTCCTCCTCCTCCTACCTCTCCTCCCCTCCTCCCCTCCCGCCTCAGTCCTCCTCCTCCTCCTCCTCCTCCTCCCTCCTCCTCCTCCTCCTCCTCCTCCTCCTGCTCCTCCTACCCGCCTCTCCGCCTCCGCCTCCGCCAACCGCCTCCGCCTCCTTCTCACTCCTCCTCCACCTCCTCCTCCTTCCTCCTCCCCTCCCGTCCTCCTCCTCCTCCTCCTCCTCCTCCTCCTCCTCCGACCTCCTTCCTCCTCCTCCTCCTCCTCCTCCTCCTCCACCTCATTCTCCTCCATCCTCCTCCTCCTCCTCCCTCCTCTCCCCTGGAGCACCATGTTGCAAGTCTGGGTCCCCCGTTGATGCATCCTGCTTTCTATGGTCCCTGCTCCTCCCTATCCTCTACCCAAATCCGTCTCTTTCTCCCCCCCCCTTCCCCCCCTTTTCTAACCCTCCTCTTACCCTCCTTCCTCCACCCCCCTCCTCCACCTCCTCCTCCTCCTCCGCCTTCCGCTCCTCCGCCTCTTCCTCATATTCCTCCTCATCCTCCTCATCATCCTGCTCCTCCTCATCCTCCTCCTCTTCCTCCCCCATCCGTCTCTTGCTGCTCCTCCTTCCCCTCCTCTGCCCTTGCCTTCTGCCTTTCCTGTACCTCCTCCCTGTTGCACCATCATGCCAGGCACGTCATCAAAGCGGGCTTGGCGTTTCGCCCGAGCCGTTCCCTCAACTTGCGACATTGAAGCTAAACTACCAAACCGTTACACCGATCAAGGTCAGGCGGTCTAGAAAACAGGGCTCCCTCGCGAAGGCGCCGCGCCCACTCGCCTCAAACAGTCCAATACGTTTACACGATTGGCGTGCGGCTCGCCATCATTATACATCTCCCGCTTGAACCTGCCTTAATTACACGGGTGCAGCGAGTAGACGGAACAAGGTGTAACATACATGTGTGAGACACGCACGAACCCACCATAAGTTGTCGTCACGAACTGACAACTGTGCCACAGGCACAAGGATGGTGGGCGGTTTCTCTTCCACGCATGGCAATCGCTGGGCATATCCTCGAACTGTACGGCCCCGTCCTGACGCACTCCTGAATCAGTTTCGTAGCTCGACGGACGGCAGACAATTTCTTCTACAATGGAACTCCCGCCTGAATGGCGGGTCCATTGGGCGCGCGTGCCGTTCAGGAGCGGCGAGACGCGCAATGTCAATGAGTGCGTTGTGGGGCAAGTGGGGCGGAACATTGGGACGGGAGGGTGCGTAGCAGCATCGTTGACAGATCTTGGGTTCGCTATGGCCCTTCTCCTCCTCCTCCTCCTCGTCCTGCTCCTCGTCCTGCTCCTCCTCCTCCTCCCTTGCTCCTCGTCCATACACCACCCCTCTCACTGCTGCGCACGCGGGGGGAGGAGGGGGGTTGGGAACTAGGAGGGGGCGGGGGACGGGAAGGTTGAGGGATGATGAGAACCATGACACAAAGGGCGGGAACGAAACCAGTGCCATGATAATGGAAGGCCCAGAGAAATAACGTCCATGACACGCGCATGGACGCCCAAGACAATGGCCTACCGCGGCAAAGAAGAAGGCAAACGCTACGTCACCGAGGGCGAGAGAACGCAACACGAGTTGGATGCGAGAGCATGTGCGGGTGGCTCTGGCACATGCAGCTCCAGAACGACAGGGTCTTGGCATGCGGTGGTGGGCTCAAGCTTGTGGCATCCTGAAGACCCGAGGGCACAACAAGTGCAGCGAGCAACCCGGATACTTACGATAATTCAATGCGATAAAAGGGGGGCATGTCCTCGCGAAGCCCACCTGGGGCGCCCTTTGCGAGCTCAGCCGCGACGACGAGCCCACCCCCCTGGCGGCTCCCCCAAAAATTATCCTGGCGAAGGATCCAACCATATGCAAACGTGAATACCGCAGGGCAGGTGGGACGAAGCAAGAGGAATTCTCTATGGGGCCACGATCCTCGTGAGGGGTGTGCCGAAATGGCCCGAGGCCGCCATGCGAACGCTGCCACTGGCGCCTTCGGTGGAGCTCCCTTATGGGGCCACGATCCTCGTGAGGGGTGTGCCGAAATGGCACGAGGCCGACATGCGAACGCTGCCACTGGAGCCTTCGGTGGAGCTGAACGCTGCCACTGGCGCCTTTGGTGGAGCTCCCTATGGGGCCACGATCCTCGTGAGTGGTGTGCCGAAATGGCCCGGGGCCGCCATGCGAACGCTGCCACTGGGGCCTTCGGTGGAGCTCCCTATGGGGCCACGAACCGTGCAAGGGGTGTGCCGCAATGGGGCAGGGCCGCCATGCGAACGCTGCCACAGGGGCATTCGCTGGAGCTCCTATCGGGCCACGATCCTCGTGACGGGTGTGCCGAACTGGCCCGAGGCCGCCATGCGAACGCTGCCACTGGGGCCTTCGGTGGAGCTCCCTATGGGGCCACGATCCTCGTGAGGGGTGTGCCGAAATGGGGCGGGGCCGCCTGCACGGCTAGCCCTGGGGCCTTCGGTGGAGCTCCCTATGGGGCCACGATCCTCGTGAGGGGTGTGCCAAAATGGGGCGGGGCCACCATGCGAACGCTTCCACTGGGGCATTCGCTGGAGCTCCCTATGGGGCCACGATCCTCGTGAGGGGTGTGCCAAAATGGGGCGGGGCCACCATGCGAACGCTGCCACTGGGGCATTCGGTGGGGCTCTCTATGGGGCCACGATCCTCGTGAGGGATGCGCCGAAATGGCGCGGGGCCACCATGCGAACGCTGCCACTGGGGCCTTCGGTGGAGCTCCCTATGGGGCCACGATCCTTGTGAGGGGTGCGCCAAAATGGTGAGGGGCCACCATGCGAACGCTGCCACTGGGGCCTTCGGTGGAGCTCCCTATGGGGCCACGATCCTCGTAAGGGGTGCGCCAAAATGGGGCGGGGCCACCATGCGAACGCTGCCACTGGCGCCTTCGGTGGAGCTCCCTATGGGGCCACGACCCTCGTGAGGGGTGTGCTAAAATGGGGCGGGGCCGCCATGCGAACGCTGCCACTGGGGCCTTCGGTGGAGGTCCCTATGGGGCCACGATCCTCGTGAGGGGTGCGCCGAAATGGGGCGGGGCCGCCATGCGAACGCTGCCACTGGGGCATTCGCTGGAGCTCCCTATGGGGCCACGATCCTCGTGAGGGTGCGCCGAAATGGGGCGGGCCGCCATGCGACGCTGCCACTGGCGACCTTCGGTGGCTCCCTATGGGGCACGATCCTCGTGAGGGGTGCACCGAAATGATGGGGCGGGCCCGCTAAAACCATGCGAAACGCTGCCACTGGTGCAAAAATTTTCGCTGAGCTCCTATGGGCCACGATCCTCGTGAAGGTTGTGCCCAAATGGGCGGGGGGCCGCCATGCTGAACGCTGCCACTGGG